ACCAACTGACGTCACGCACACCAACTGACGTCACACACACCAACTGACGTTACACACACCAACTGACGTCACACACACCAACTGACGTCACACAAACCAACTGACGTCACACAAACCAACTGACGTCACACAAACCAACTGACGTCACACACACCAACTGACGTCACACACACCAACTGACGACACACACACCAACTGACTTAACACACACCAACTGACGACACACACGCCAACTGACGTCACACACACCAACTGACTTCACACACACCAACTGACGTCACACACACCAACTGACGTCACACACACCAACTGACGTCACACACACCAACTGACGTCACACACACCAACTGACGTTACAGACACAAACTGACGTTACACACACCAACTGACGTCACACACACCAACTGACGTCACACACACCAACTGACGTCACACACACCAACTAACGTCACACACACCAACAGACGTCACACACACCAACTGACGTCACACACACCAACTGACGTCACACACACCAACTGACGTCACACACACCAACTGACGTTACACACACAAACCAACTGACGTCACACACACCAACTGACGTTACACACACCAACTGACGACACACACACCAACTGACGTCACACAAACCAACTGACGACACACACACCAACTGACGTCACACACACACCAACTGACGTCACACACACCAACTGACGTAACACACACCAACTGACGTCACACACACCAACTGACGTTACACACACCAACTGACGTCACACACACCAACTGACGTCACACAAACCAACTGACGTCACACAAACCAACTGACGTCACACAAACCAACTGACGTCACACACACCAACTGACGTCACACACACCAACTGACGACACACACACCAACTGACGTAACACACACCAACTGACGACACACACACCAACTGACGTAACACACACCAACTGACGTCAGACACACCAACTGACGACACACACACACCAACTGACGTCACACACACCAACTGACGACACACACACACCAACTGACGTCACACACACCAACTGACTTCTAAAAATCGTTTTTTTTGCCACAATATAATATTTTAAAGTCAGTTTCTTGAGAAATGTTATGACAGAAAATATATAATAACACATCATTGGTCACAGTCGTCTCGTTTGATCAGAAACTCTAACATTTGCTTAAGAGACGAGGCCCCTCCCCATTGGTTAACCTCCTGCAGCCGCCGCCATCACCCTCCAAATGTCAACCCTGCTAAGGACAAACACACACACCGAGCTGATCACAGTACCCCTTGGAGTGCTCGTACATCACCTTCAGGTCTGTGTGTTTTAGCGGCGCAGATACTCGGTCTCATGTTTGTATTTGGCTTCTTTCATCCAGATCCACGGCCTCTGCTCCAGCTTTGTCTCTCACTAAAAGTTGAAGTCATTGTGTGTCTGTAATCAATCACGCCACTGCTCTATTGGAAATCTTTAGCCCCTCAGTCCAGCGCTTTGTGTTCTCCTAAAATAGACAAACAAATCGCTGAGAAAATCAATGTGAGAATTTCCACACGTACAGAGACTTTTGAGGAGATTGCTCTGTGGAATAATGAAGCTGGATGTGTTCTGCTCCACGGACTTTACCTGAGAAAACACCACGACTCATTTACCCACGATTTAGGGACAATAAAGATTTAAAGACGAAGAGAAGACTTTTAAATCTGTGGCACGTGGTTTAAAGAGACAGAGACAAACTGACAGCAGTGACTTTGCCATTTCATGTTTGAGAAACTGAAGTGAGACCTGTCCTTTCATTAAACAACAAACTTTCATCATATAAATGTGATGGACCTGGTCTCCTGATGGACCTGGTCTCCTGATGGTCCTGGTCTCCTCTTGGTCCTGGTCTCCTGATGGACCTGGTCTCCTCTTGGACCTGGTCTCCTCTTGGACCTGGTCTCCTGATGGACCTGGTCTCCTGATGGTCCTGGTCTCCCGATGGTCCTGGTCTCCTGATGGTCCTGGTCTCCTGGTGGACCTGGTCTCCTCTTGGACCTGGTCTCCTGATGGTCCTGGTCTCCTGATGGACCTGGTCTCCTGATGGTCCTGGTCTCCTCTTGGACCTGGTCTCCTGATGGACCTGGTCTCCTGCTGGACCTGGTCTCCTGATGGACCTGGTCTCCTGATGGTCCTGGTCTCCTCTTGGACCTGGTCTCCTCTTGGACCTGGTCTGCTGATGGTCCTGGTCTCCTCTTGGACCTGGTCTCCTGATGGTCCTGGTCTCCTGATGGTCCTGGTCTCCTCTTGGTCCTGGTTTCCCAATGGTCCTGGTCTCCTGATGGTCCTGGTTTCCCGATGGTCCTGGTCCCCTGATGGACCTGGTCTCCTCTTGGACCTGGTCTCCTAATGGTCCTGGTCTCCTGATGGACCTGGTCTCCTAATGGTCCTGGTCTCCTCTTGGACCTGGTCTCCTCTTGGACCTGGTCTCCTGATGGTCCTGGTCTCCTCTTGGACCTGGTCTCCTCTTGGACCTGGTCTCCTGATGGTCCTGGTCTCCTCGTGGACCTGGTCTCCTCTTGGTCCTGGTTTGCCGATGGTCCTGATCTCCTGATGGTCCTGGTTTCCCGATGGTCCTGGTCTCCTGATGGTCCTGGTTTCCAGATGGTCCTGGTCTCCTGATGGTCCTGGTTTCCCGATGGTCCTGGTCCCCTGATGGACCTGGTCTCCTCTTGGACCTGGTCTCCTAATGGTCCTGGTCTCCTAATGGTCCTGGTCTCCTCTTGGACCTGGTCTCCTCTTAGACCTGGTCTCCTGATGGTCCTGGTCTCCTCTTGGACCTGGTCTCCTCTTGGACCTGGTCTCCTCTTGGACCTGGTCTCCTGATGGTCCTGGTCTCCTGATGGTCCTGGTCTCCTCTTGGACCTGGTCTCCCGAGGGTCCTGGTCCCCTGATGGTCCTGGTCTCCTGATGGTCCTGGTCTCCTCTTGGACTTGGTTTCCCGATGGTCCCGGTCTCCTGATGGTCCTGGTTTCCTGATAGTCCTGGTCTCCTGATGGTCCTGGTCTCCTCTTGGACCTGGTCTCCTGATAGTCCTGGTCTCCTGATGGTCCTGGTCTCCACTTGGACCTGGTCTCCTGATGGTCCTGGTCTCCTGATCGTCCTGGTCTCCACTTGGACCTGGTCTCCTGATGGTCCTGGTCTCCTGATGGCCCTGGTCTCCTCCTGATGGTCCTGGTCTCGTGATGGTCCTGGTCTGCTGATGGTCCTGGTTTCCTGATGGTCCTGGTCTCCTGCTGGTCCTGGTCTCCACTTGGAACTGGTCTGCTGATGGTCCTGGTCTCCTGCTGGTCTCCTGCTGGTCTCCTGCTGGTCTCCTGCTGGTCTCCTGCTGGTCTCCTGGATACAGAGACAGATCTCGTTGATAGTGTCTGATGAATCACTGAATCCAAAGTGTTTTCTGTGGATTTTCTTCATTTTATTTTTCATTTTAAAAACACCTTTTGTTTGATAATAATTATAATTATGATTCTGACTTGTTCTTTCTGCTGCGGATCTGTTTTATTATCATTAAAGAATAATAAATGACACACACACACACACAGAAACACACACACACACAGACACACACACACACGCACACACAGACACACACACACACACACACACACACACACACACACACACACACGCACACACACACACACACACACACACACACACACACACACACACACACACACACACACACACACGCACACGTACACACACGCACGCACACACACACGCACACACACACACACGCGCACACACACACACGCGCACACACACACACACACACACACTCTCACTTTCTCACTAAAGAAAGTTTAGTTAAAACTTTGGACCTAAAACAGTTCTTATTCGTCATTATTCACAGTTACTAATGGGGTGAAAGTCAGCCTCTGATTGGCTGCTGCAGGGGTCAGCCTCTGATTGGCTGCTGCAGGGGTCATCCTCACTGCTTCACTTCACATAGTTGTACTAGTGACAAACCTCATGTGGACACTGAGGGTGTCCTCTGTCCACTGTCCACTGTCCTCCATCTGTCCTCTGTCCTCTGTCCTCCATCTGTCCTCTGTCCTCCATCTGTCCTCTGTCCTCCATCTGTCCTCTGTCCACTGTCCTCTGTCCTCCATCTGTCCTCTGTCCTCTGTCCTCATCTGTCCTCTGTCCTCCATCTGTCCTCTGTCTTCTGTCCTCCATCTGTCCTATGTCCTCTGTTCTCCATTTGTCCTCTGTCTTCCATCTGTCCTCGGTCCTCCATCTGTCCTCTGTCCTACATCTGTCCTCTGGCCTCCATCTGTCTACTGTCTTCTGTCCTCCATCTGTCCTCTGTCCTCCATCTGTCTACTGTCCTCTGTCCTCCATCTGTCCTCTGTCCTCCATCTGTCCTCTGTCTTCTGTTCTCTGTCCTCCATCTGCCTTCTGTCCTCCATCTGTCCTCTGTCCACTGTCCTCTGTCCTCTGTCCACTGTCCTCTGTCCACTGTCCTCTGTCCTCTATCCTCCATCTGTCCTCTGTCCACTGTCCTCTGTCCTCTGTCCTCCATCTGTCCTCTGTCCTCTGTCCACTGTCCTCTGTCCACTGTCCTCTGTCCTCTGTCCTCCATCTGTCCTCTGTCCTCCATCTGTCCTCTGTCCTCTGTCCTCTGTCCTCTGTCCACTGTCCTCTGTCCACTGTCCTCTGTCCACTGTCCTCTGTCCTCTATCCTCCATCTGTCCTCTGTCCACTGTCCTCTGTCCTCTGTCCTCCATCTGTCCTCTGTCCTCTGTCCACTGTCCTCTGTCCACTGTCCTCTGTCCTCTGTCCTCCATCTGTCCTCTGTCCTCCATCTGTCCTCTGTCCTCTGTCCTCTGTCCACTGTCCTCTGATCAGTGTCTCTCGTCCTCAGTCAAACATTCTGACCTGAAAACTCTTCAATGCGTCTCTTCTGTCACAGATTGTTAATTCCGCTTTAGACGTTGCAGATTTCTTTTCTTATGACCTACCACTGCGTGAAGAGTAACTCAAACTCATGAACCTACTCCACATCCATATTGTTGACCCTTTGTTTCCAGAAGAACCACTGCTGGAATGAGCTTCAGCAGAACACAGTTTTCCACAAGCTCACCAGGGGGCGCTGTCTCACATCCAAAATGTCAGTCTTCGTGGTTTCACCAAAACAGATTTTCGGGTTATTCATTTCAAGTCAGTCTCACGACCAACCTCTGATAATGTGAAACCAAAACTGAAACAATGAAAGATGAATATTTACAGATAGAGTTCATGCCAATTAGTAGATTATATCTTCTGGGTTTTTCCCCGGGTCAGCTCTATATAACACAGCGGGTCAATGTCGCAAATCTGCAACATCCCAGAATGCATTGCCTGTGAAGCTCTCTCTCAATAAAAGAGATTTATGATAATTTTCAGCAAATATCAGATTTTTCCTCTCATTCAAATGTAATTGGGCCTGAGAGGTTCACTTTCCAAAGGCTTTAATGGATTCATTTGAATATAACATAACCACCTTCCAGTGCTTGACCTCTGACCTTGTCTCTTTTGCAGCTGACCTCAGTGATGACCTCAGAGATGACCTCAGTGATGACCTCAGTGATGACCTCAGAGATGACCTCAGAGAGGAGCTCTGTGATTGGACAGTGAGGATGTGTGGACCTATGACCTGGAGCAAAGCTGTGTTAGTGCTGTGCCTGCTGCGGAGCGCCTGCTGCGACGAGGGCCCTGCACTCAACGGTAAGACCTGTGTGTGTGTGTGTATATGTGTGTGTGTGTGTGTGTGTGTGTATATGTGTGTATATGTGTGTGTGTGTGTGTGTGTGTATGTTTGAACTGTTGGGACTGTGCAGTATTGAGCCCTCTCTGGTATTGCACCGCCGACTGTCCTGATGCTGGGAGTGTGTGTTTGTGTCCAAAGCTGTGATCCTCAAACTCTTCTCACTTCGGGGACGATGTTGAACCATGAACCTTGAGGCGTTCAGTTTGCGGGTGAAATGAACACCAGTCCTGCACCAAAAAGACAGTTCTGAATAATAGATGGATTCAGACGTCTCTGTTGCTGACGTGTGGTTTTGGTGAATCCGTAACTGATTTAGTGGTGCGTACATGAGGAGAGTGATGCGGTTACTTTGTGCCGATCAGACAGAAACCTTCTGTAAATGTGATTTTAGATTTTTGTGTTTTCATTAGACCCTGGGGGGGTTGGGATCCTCACCCTGGTGCTGGATGTCTGTGCCCCAGCAGAGGTGTGATGGTTGGGGGCCCGGTGTGCTGGCTCCGGGGCCCATTAGCTCGGTGCTCCCTGACTCCCCACAGGATGAGGCCAGAGACGGCTTCACCCAAACTTTCTCCATCATCTTCTTTCTCCAGCTTTGGCTTTTGTGAGAGACCTTTGTGTCACCGTCAACTCGATTGACCTTAAGGCTTGTTACTGCAGACTGGGAACCAAAGTGTTATTGTTAATACAAAATAAGGGTTCAAGGTTTATAATAATTGCTGTTTTCTTGAACTTGCTTTGAAATTATGTTCACCCTCAACATTCAATTTCAATTTCAGTCTGGTTCGCTTTTGCTGCCAATCCAAGCCGGCCCCTTTCACCCGGGGCGGCACGGTGGCTGAGTGGTTAGCACTCTCGCCTCTCAGCAAGAAGGTCCTGGGTTCAAATCCCGGTTGGACCAGGGCCTTTCTGAGTGGAGTTTGCATGTTCTCCCCGTGTCTGCGTAGGTTTCCTCCAGGTGCTCCGATTTCCCCATCCATCCATCCATTTTCTTCCGCTTTATCCGTTGCCGGGTCGCGGGGGCAGCAGTCTAAGCAGAGACGCCCAGACTTCCCTATCCACACACACTTCCTCCAGCTCGTCCGGGGGGACCCCAAGGCGTTCCCAGGCCAGCTGAGAGACATAGTCCCTCCAGCGTGTCCTGGGTCTTCCGCGGGGCCTCCTCCCGGTGGGACGTGCCCGGAACACCTCCCCAGGGAGGCGTCCAGGAGGCATCCGGAACAGATGCCCGAGCCACCTCAACTGGTTCCTCTCGACGTGGAGAAGCAGCGGTTCTACTCCGAGCTCCTCCCGTGTGACTGAGCTCCTCACCCTATCTCTAAGGGAGCGCCCAGCCACTCTGCGGAGGAAGCTCATTTCGACCGCTTGTATCCGCGATCTCGTTCTTTCGGTCATTACCCAAAGCTCATGACCATAGGTGAGGGAGGGAACGAAGATTGACCGGTAAATCGAGAGCTTTGCCTTTCGGCTCAGCTCCCTCTTCACCACAACGGTCCGATACAGCGACCGCATAACTGCGCACGCTGCACCGATCCGCCTGTCAATCTCACGCTCCATTCTTCCCTCACTCGTGAACAAGACCCCGAGATACTTGAACTCCTCCACTTGAGGAAGGACCTCTCCACCCACCTGCAGAGGGCAAGGCACCTTTTTCCGGTCGAGCACCATGGCCTCGGATTTGGAGGTGCTGATTCTCATCCCAGCCGCTTCACACTCGGCTGCAAACCGTCCCAGTGCATGCTGCAGGTCCTGGTTCGTTGGAGCCAACAGGACAACATCGTCCGCAAACAGCAGAGATGAAATCATGTGGTCTCCGAACCGGACCCCCTCCGACCCCTGGCTGCGCCTAGATATTCTGTCCATAAATACAGTGAACAGAACCGGTGACAAAGGGCAGCCCTGTCGGAGGCCAACATTCACCGGGAACAGGTCTGACTTACTGCCGGCAATGCGAACACAGCTCTGGCTCCGGTCATACAGGGATCGGATGGCCCTCAGCAGAGGACCCCCGACCCCGTACTCCCGGAGAACCCCCCAAAGGACACCCCGGGGAACACAGTCGAACGCCTTCTCCAAATCCACAAAGCACATGTGGATAGGTTGGGCGAACTCCCATGAACCCTCGAGTATCCGATGGAGAGTATAGAGCTGGTCCAGTGTTCCGCGACCGGGACGAAAACCACACTGCTCCTCCTGGATCCGAGATTCGACCATCGGCCGTAACCTCCTCTCCAGTACCTTGGAGTAGACCTTACCGGGGAGGCTGAGGAGTGTGATCCCACGATAATTGGAACACACCCTCCGGTCCCCCTTCTTGTAGAGAGGGACCACCACCCCGGTCTGCCACTCCATTGGCACTGCCCCCGATCGCCACGCGATGTTGCAGAGACGTGTCAGCCAAGACAGTCCTACAACATCCAGAGACTTTAGATAATCAGGGCGGATCTCATCCACACCCGGAGCCTTGCCACCATGGAGGCTACCAACCACCTTGGTGACCTCAGCCAGGGAGATGGATGTACCCGCCCCAACATCCTCAGCCTCTGCCTCTGTAACAGAGGACGTGACGGGGGGATTGAGGAGAACCTCAAAGTATTCCTTCCACCGCCCGACAATATCCCCAGTCGAGGTCAGCAGCTCTCCACCCGCACCGTACATGGTGTTGGCAAAGAACTGCTTCCCCCTCCTGAGGCGCCGGATGGTTTGCCAGAATCTCTTCGAGGCCGACCGATAGTCATGCTCCATGGACTCTCCGAACTCCTCCCAGTCCCGGGTTTTTGCCTCTGCAACAGCCCGGGCCGCGGCACGCTTGGCCTGCCGGTACTGGACAGCTGCCTCAGGAGTCCCCCGAACCATCATGGCTCGATAGGACTCCTTCTTCAGCCTGACAGCATCCCTTACTGCCGGTGTCCACCACCGGGTTCGGGGGTTGCCGCCGGGACCAGCACCAGAGACCTTGCGACCACAGCTACGAGCCGCCGCATCGGCGATTGAGGCAGAGAACATGGTCCACTCGGACTCCATGTCCCCCTCCTCCGCCGGGACCTGGGAGAAACTCTCCCGGAGGTGTGAGTTGAAAGTCCGTCTGACAGGGGGCTCAGCGAGACGTTCCCAGCAGACCCTCACTATACGCTTGGGTCTGCCAGGTCTGACCGGCTTCTTCCCCTGCCAGCGGATCCAACTCACGACCAGGTGATGATCGGTTGACAGCTCCGCCCCTCTCTTTACCCGAGTGTCCGAGACACGCGGTCGAAGGTCAGATGATACGACAACAAAGTCGATCATCGACCTCCGGCCTAGGGTGTCCTGGTGCCACGTGCACTGGTGGACACCCTTGTGCTCGAACATGGTGTTCGTGATGGACAAACCGTGACTGGCACAGAAGTCCAACAACTGAGCACCGCTCGGGTTCAGATCAGGGGAGCCGCTCTTCCCGATCACCCCTCTCCAAGTGTCACTGGCGTTTCCCACATGGGCGTTGAAGTCCCCCAGGAGAATAACGGAGTCCCCGGGCGGTGCACCGTCCAGTACCCCTCCCAAGGACTCCAAGAAGGCCGGGTACTCTGCACTGCTGTTAGGCCCGTAGGCCGTCACAACAATGAGAGACTTGTCCCCCACCCGGAGGCGGAGGGACGCGACCCTCTCATTCACCGGGGAGAACTCCAACACGTGGCGGCTGAGATGGGGGGCAATGAGAATGGCCACCCCAGCTCGCCGCCTCTCCCCGCGGGAAACTCCAGAAAAGTGGAGCGTCCAACCCCTCTCAAGGAGTTGGGTTCCAGAGCCCAAGCTGTGTGTGGAGGTGAGGCCGACTATCTCTAGTCGGTATCGCTCAACCTCCCCCACGAGCTCGGGCTCCTTCCCCCCCAGTGAGGTGACGTTCCACGTCCCAAGAGCCAGATGTTGTGTGTGCGGACTGGGTCGCCGAGGTCTCCGCCTTCGACTGCCGCCCAGTCCTCTCTGCACCGCTTCACCACGGACCCCTCTGCAGGTGGTGGGCCCACAGGAGGGACTGCCCACGTCATCCCTTCGGGCTGAGCCCGGCCGGGCCCCGTGGGCTAAGGCCCGGCCACCAGGCGCTCGCATACGGGCCCCGACCCCAGGCCTGGCTCCAGGGTGGGGCCCCGGCTGCGCCATGCCGGGCGACGTCACTGTTTTCGTGTTAGTGCTGTCCATGGTGTCTTCTGGACTGCTCTTTGTCTGACTCGTCACCTGAGACCTGTCTGCCATGGGAGGCCCTACCAGGGGCATGAAGCCCCAGACAGCATAGCTCCCAGGATCATCTGAGTACTCAAACTCCCCCACCACGTTAAGGTGGCAGTCCAGCCATTTTTAGTGGTCCGATTTCCCCTACCACTAAAAATATGTACAATAGGTCTGGCATGTGCCTCCTGTACTGGATCCCCCACTCCCAAAAAATAACAATTGTAAACCGCTTTGAGACTCCGATGTGCAGTGAAAAGGCGGTATATAAATAAAGATGACTTACTTACTTACCCTCAGCCTATCACACAGCGCTGCCAACGTTTGCCAATCAAGCCGACAGTTTAAAAGTGGAAAAAAACAAACGCTTTTCCAAGTCGTGCAAAGAAGACCTCCGAATGCACGCTCTCATCCCAGTATTGTACCTCGGTCTTATGCCACCACCAGTGCCTCGGCCCCGGGATCATAAGCAGCACACGCGTCTTTTCTGTCTCTGTGGGGTCTCTCCAATGTGAAATACTCTCTCTCTGGTCAGACAGGAGGCTGTACTCTCTCTCTGGTTAGACAGGAGGCTGTACTCTCTCTCTGGTTAGACAGGAGGCTGTACTCTCTCTCTGGTTAGACAGGAGGCTGTACTCTCTCTCTGGTCAGACAGGAGGATGTACTCTCTCTCTGGTTAGACAGGAGGCTGTACTCTCTCTCTGGTCAGACAGGAGGCTGTACTCTCTCTCTGGTTAGACAGGAGGCTGTACTCTCTCTCTGGTTAGACAGGAGGCTGTACTCTCTCTCTGGTTAGACAGGAGGCTGTACTCTCTCTCTGGTTAGACAGGAGGCTGTACTCTCTCTCTGGTCAGACAGGAGGCTGTACTCTCTCTCTGGTCAGACAGGAGGCTGTACTCTCTCTCTGGTTAGACAGGAGGCTGTACTCTCTCTCTGGTTAGACAGGAGGATTGTACTCTCTCTCTGGTCAGACAGGAGGCTGTACTCTCTCTCTGGTTAGACAGGAGGCTGTACTCTCTCTCTGGTTAGACAGGAGGATGTACTCTCTCTCTGGTCAGACAGGAGGCTGTACTCTCTCTCTGGTTAGACAGGAGGCTGTACTCTCTCTCTGGTTAGACAGGAGGCTGTACTCTCTCTCTGGTTAGACAGGAGGATGTACTCTCTCTCTGGTTAGACAGGAGGCTGTACTCTCTCTCTGGTTAGACAGGAGGCTGTACTCTCTCTCTGGTTAGACAGGAGGATGTACTCTCTCTCTGGTTAGACAGGAGGATG